GGCTGTCAGCGCCTTCAGGTGCCCGGGGCGGGGTGGAAACCGTGGCGTTGGCACGGCCGGCGCGGTGGGTCCGTACAGAGCACCTTAGCAGAGCCGCGATCCGAGTTAGAACATCCAGGTGACGCTGCTGGGGGTTTCCCTGTGGCTGCGAGGGCTTGAAGAGGGAGGACAGGCTGCTTTTGAACTCAAAAGTTAATGTGTGGAGTCGTGGCCGAGTGCACTGAGTGGCTAATGTTGCAGTGAGAAATGGCCAGCCCTTTGCAATAACTTTGTCAGGATCCCTGGATCCAGCCGCTTGAGAATCCTGGCTCTCCTCACCTAAATCCCGTCATCCCTTCGTCATCTGGTGAAATCTGGTCGAGCTCTGTTTATCTAGTGCTGTAGTGGGAACGTAGAGGCTCCTTCATGGATTGCTCTGGTAATGGTTCCCCTCGCAGTCCCACCAAGGGATTTGTGGGATATGAACAGCATTGTGTTGACGCCGGTTTAAAATACCTATGGGCTTCAAAATTAAAGTGCAAAATGTGAAACTATAACAACTTGACTTCTCTCACTTGCACCTGTGTTATTTCCTTCTCTAGAAATGGATTCTGAAGCACTTAAAAAATACTCAGCGTTACATCCTAAACCTGCTGGACTTACCCTTCAGTATGGCACCGCTGGATTTCGCACCAAGGCCGAACAGCTTGATCACATCATGTTCCGCATGGGCTTGCTGGCAGTTCTCAGGTCCAAAGCCGTGGTATCTACTATTGGCATCATGGTTACAGCATCTCACAATCCTGAAGTAAGAACAACCTTTTCTTTAAAAAGAAAATAGATGTGATCAGTCTGGTGGAATCAAAGCTCTTCATGGTACCAAGAGACCAGATCCTGAAGGCACTTGGACCTACGTAAAGCATGTGTTTAGCCTGCTCCCTGTAAACGTGATGTCTGTCATGTTTGAAGTTACTTTTCCCCGTACACAGGAGCATCATTTTCTGTCATGTGGAAATGCTGTAATGTAGGAAATTTGTAACGTTGGCAAGCTAGGAGTACCCTTGAGAAGAGATGAACCTTTGAGCAAAATCTGCTAGTTTAAAAAATAAAAAGATGCAGCAATTATAAATCAGGCATTTAGACTTCCGCTGCTGTGGAGCGTTCCAGGTTACTAGAATCTCCCCTTACGTCATTTTAATGTCAAATGAATTTCATACCAAAAGTATAAGGGGGAAAAAGTCAGTTGCTTAACATGCTGGTTACGTTACTTTTTTGGGCTTATTAGAGGTTTAAATAAACAGCTAAGCTCTTGCTTCCCAGAAATGCTCCACATTTAAAGAAGCAGTGTGACTGAACCATGTGTCGGCTGTCTTCAAAGAGACTTTATTAAGTTTCCCGCTTGGTATCTTTTGTTCTGTTTTCCTCTAAGGAAGACAATGGCGTAAAGCTGGTTGATCCTCTTGGTGAAATGCTGCATCCTTCCTGGGAAGAGTATGCCACGCAACTAGCAAATGCGGAGGAACGAGAATTACAGAAAATAGTAACTGAGATCTGTCAAAAAGCAGCAGTGAACCAGCACAAAGATGCTTCAGTTTTTATCGGTAGAGACACCAGGTAATTACAAAATACGGTAGATGTGTGCTGCTTTTATGGAAGTGCCAACGTTTTGTTTATGGGTGCTTTTGGATGTTTAGCCCTCCGCAGCCAGATTATGCTTTTTTTTAATGCCTAGTGTGCTACCTGTTAAAGTAATTTATAATTCTAGCAATAAACAAAAGTTTTCCAATGCTGTTCCTATATTAGCTTCCCTGATAGTTATGAGAACTTCCTAGCACTGTTTCTGAATGAGATGCTTTATTGTGGGTTTGGTGGTGTTCTTTTTTTTTTTGTGGGTACGGTGTGACATCCACATGTGTTCAGCAGTTTACTTGTCTTTGCAATTCTCTGGGGTGGTGGCTTTCAAACTTTTTTATTGGGAGGCCCCTACAGTACAAAAAGGTATGGATTTCTTCATATTGAGTCTAAGTCTACTGGCAGGAAGCTTATAGAGTCTTCTTCCGCATGTGCTTCCTTCCCAAGTCCATACATAAATGTCTTTTGCAAAGGTTTTCAGTTGTATTTGTTGTTTTCCAGGCCAAGCAGCGAGAAACTCTCACAGTCAGTAATAGATGGTATCTCCGTTCTAGGTGGTCAGTACCATGGTACGTTGTGCTTTTGCAATTCTACCCTGATTTCAAGTTTTTATGTAAATGTGACTCTGTTATGTGGACCTAAAGCAGTAGCCCGGACACCGTTTCCATTTTTGCTTGTAATGATCTTCTTTCAGGATAGTTGTATGGCTTTAATGCAAGGGGGGGGTGTTCATCTTTTCGTAACAGAACTTGCAAAATTTAATATGGGTTTCCTGCACTGCGTTTGTCTGTTTATTGTAGAATAGCAAGTACTGTACAACTTTTAAGGAGGAATTAATTTAGTATTCTATTTCTGAGTGTTGTGCCTTTTATTTTATGATAGATTATGGTCTGGTGACAACACCACAGCTACATTACATGGTCTGCTGTCGAAACACCCAAGGGCAGTATGGGAAAGCAACACTGGAAGGTTATTACGAAAAACTATCCAAAGCTTTTATGGAACTGATAAAACAGGTGAATACTAGGCGTTGTCTTCTTCATGCAAATGTACAAAATGAATATATTCTGTTTGTTAACCTGTTTGGGTCTGAAGTTTCAAATTCAGCATGTCTCTAGGTGTGGTGTCACTAGGCTATGAGTTCACTTTACCCCTTCTTCCCTTGTGCTAAGTCTCCCAGCTCTGGAGAGAGTCAGAGGCACCTGAAGATTGACTGTGCCAATGGAATAGGAGCCCTGAAACTATCAGAAATGGAGCCCTACTTTCCAAAGGAGGTGCTAATTCACCTATATAATGATGGAACCAAGGAGAAACTCAATCACTTATGTGGTGCAGATTTCGTAAAAGTTCACCAGAAACCACCTAGAGGTACGTAGTCAGTAATTTTATATCCTTTTGCCTCCTCTCCAGATCTGAAAGCGCAGGGTCTAGCAATGGTGTATATCATCTTCGGATAGGCTGAGCTCCCCTGTTTCTTACTAAATGACTGCATGAATGGTTCTGCTTGTGTGATGGACAGAGAGAATCCTACGGCTGGTTTTGGCACATCCCTAGTTTATGTTAGTCTAAATTGTTTGGAGGAGTATAGTATGTCTCTGACTGGCTGAAATATGTTTGACAATTTGGTCTGAATGTCAAGTTGGTGGAGTCCAAAGATCAGTTAGGACTGGCTTACTTTTATTTACTTTACTTTCCTTTGTGTTATCAAGAAACACAAAGTTTACATTGTGGCCTGGGGTTGCAGATGCTTTTCTGGGTTCCTGAGGAAGAGCTGGGATAATTAACAGCTTGGTGCTAGCAGACTGACTGATTGACATAAACCAGTGAGGAAATTATTTGATCCAATTTCCTGCAAAGTGCGTAAAAGAAAATCCCTGAACTGGGGGAGCAGGCTAGTTTGGATATTAGATTATTTAAGGCTAAACTGGGCTCTCCGTTTGACAACTGCACCCTCACTGCAACTGCTAGAGCAGAGCAGAGGGGCAGAATCACCTCCCTCAACCTGCTGGCCACACTTCTTTTGATGCAGCCCAGGATACAGTTGGCTTTCTGGGCTGTGAGCGCACGTTGCTGGCTCATGTCTACTCTGCTCTGGTGAGACCCCAACTGGAGTACTGTGTCCTCAGCATAAGAAAGACACGGACCTGTTGGAGCGGGTCCAGAGGAGGGTCACAAAAATGACAAGGGGAATGGAACACCTCTCCTATGAATAAAGGCTGAGAGAGTTGGGGTTGTTCAGCCTAGAGAAGAGAAGGCTTCGGGGAGACCTTATTGCAGCCTATCAGTACTTAAAGGGGGCTTATAAAAAAGATGG